ACCATATGAAGGATCAGCTCTGAGCTCTCTCTGGCACTTTTCTGTTTCTACAATAGAAGGATTCTCTCTCTCTCTCTCTCTCTCTCTCTCTCTCTCTCTCTCTCTTAATGTGTACTTTGTACTTAAGACACTTGTGGCATTGTTTTTCCTCGACTCTGCTGTTTTTGTACTTATTATCGAAATAGTCAGCTACTATTTCTAAAGCGACAGAAACTCAAAAATTGGGATGTAAACGGAACGAGCAGTATTTTTATTTCTAGAAAGTGATTTTTACACTTTTGAACTGTTCTTTATTTTCTAACATACTTTGAGCTCTACATTGCATGTGGTGAATGAGATGATTCTTTTGAAATCTGGTACCAAGACAATCTAAAGGGGCTTGTTTCTCCTCATCTACTCTGAGTAACTGTGCCTCTGTATATCTGCACTGGAGGTGTAAAGTTTCAGCTGTGACAACCACTGTTCTGCCTGAATAGATAATGAAATCATTGGTGGGAAAGACAGACGGTGAAGCTTTTGATTAATCGTTTGCTGTTCACTCTGTGGTCGATGATGCTCAGAAATCCAGTCTACTGTCCTGCAGTGGCACGTGTTTGAGATGCCACAAGATGCTGTGTATACATGTACTTCTGTCACAAACTAGTGAAATGTTACTGTAGAAATGATATTGTTGTGAAAGTGCATTTCGAAGTATGAATTTGACGATACAGTCATGTAATGAGGCAAGCCTAATACCAGAAACTTTGACACTTTGTGGTGATCAGTAAGAGATGACGATTATATTGTAAAGTCACAACAGTCAAACAAGTCAAATCATCTCTTAAAAGCAAATGATGACATTCCCAAAACTCAACTTATCACATATCTCTGTCAACTCAGATGTATTTATTTTTGTTATTTTTTCTTTAGCTCTTTTGTCATAATTATAACCACAAATGTACTGTAGTATTTCAAACATTTACAATAAAATAATTTGTACTAAGTTTGTATTGTCTTCTTGGTCCTAAAACAACAGCAAATAATGACTCAAGACCAATTTTTAATCATTGTCAATAACTTTAACAGTAATATTTGCTGCCCTCTGCTGGACAGACGGCGAAGCTTTCACCACTAAGAGAAAAAGTGACTAAAATAGCAGAATATTGTTTAATCAATAATTATTGTTAAAACAACATGACCTGGCCATATGTTTGGCACAGTGCTGCAGTAAAGAAAACTGAGCCTTCTGTTTGAGATTGAACACATTTGGCTCTGGTTTGGAACGGAGGCAAAAGACAGGATGCCAGTTGAGCTCTGTTAATTTTCCCTCCAGCTCCATCAGAATTGGACAGAAAATTGTGGTCCCAGCCGCATTCTAATAGGATCCCTCCCTAGCTACTGAGCCCCACCCACATTGATGGATCTAAATCTGGATTGGTTTGTAAAGTTTGTGACATCACAAACCATGGCTGTTTGAATCAGTCACTGACTGGAATCTGTTTCCTGCAGCGTCGAGATGGAAATACTCCGTCATGGTATTGATGTACTTCACTCAAAAAAAAGTTTATATAAAAGACATAGCGTTTAGAGCAGAACCTTTATATAAATGTCCTGATACATGTCACCACTGACAGAACTGGTAGGAAAAGCTCAAATGTAAACAATGAAGTTATCAGTGGCCTCATTAGTGTGATGAGGACAAACAGGAAACAGGTATTTATAATACAATTCATTATATTTTCACTGTAATCACAGAATGTTTTGCACAATAATAACTTAATTTTCTTTTAATCACCTCAGTCTCCAAATGAGAACAAACAGCACTGTCCCAACAGAGAGGAGCGAGAAGAAGAATCTATAATCCAAACAGCATCAGCATGAATTCCAAGTGGACGGTCTCAGAAGGAAGTAACACAGTGACAGATGTCTTTATCCATAATCATGATAATCTGAGGTGCTCTGTACTCTGCAGGGCGAGCAAATCACCAGACTGTCAGTATAAAGTGAAATAAAGATATTTATGAGGCAGTAATATAAGAAATAATTGGTGAACAAGAAAGTACGGCCACACTGTGAGGGTAACATAAAACACAAAGTACACGCTGATGAGAATATTTAGTCATAAAAGTTCTAATGTCAACCACATGGTGGCGCTGGAGGGAAATATATCAGATCCCCACAATCCATTGAATTCATCCCCTGGAGACCATGAATATCTGTATGAAATGTCATGGAAATTATAATATAATTAATTGGGATATGAAAGGCTGGAGCAAGGTGGTGGACTGTCAGACTTTGATCCATATGTATGAATGAGTTCACCATGTTCACTTCCTGTGTTATCCTCAAATGACAAACCCTGTGTTTACATATAGATCTACATGGTATGATAAACATCCATGGGTGGAATTTTAATTGTGAGGTTTGAAGTCCTGCGTCAGGCTGTGTTTTGTGTTTCTCTGTGGAGCACAAAAGCAGGTGGAATGAAACAGGCCTGGATTCTTCATTATTATTATTATTATTAGCTATGAGACCCAACAGGAGAAGAACAAAAGTGCTGAATCGTGTGATGTAACTAACACTGTATATAACCATATATGAACGAACCGCTCCGCCCCTGTATTGGAGGCCACTGTTGCCATCGTAACCAGTGGCAGCGATGCTCCCTCCTCCGTTAGCTCCAGTGAGGTTCCTCTGCGTCCCTTGGTGAACTCTGCAGGGTTAATGGAGCTGAATGTTCGACTGAATGTCCCTCTGCTGAATGGCAATAAGGAGTTGAGATTAAACGCTGAATTCAACATCACCACTGCCCACTGCATTCATAATTGATGCATACATTCATAATGAATAAAGGTTCTGTACAAAACAGAGGAGCAGCCGTACTTGAGAATGACACAAATTGTCGTCCCTCCGATCTCTGCTGCACAACTAGCAGGAGCTCTTTGTTTGTTTTTATGAGCAATGTAAAGACCCATAGAGTGAATGAGCACAGGTAACCTGATCTATGTTTCCACAATAACCATGTACAAAATAATGACTCAGATCCCATATATAGCCCCTCTGGGCTCTTCATTGGGTTTGTGTATCTCTGGGGATAGGAGCACAGGGAGAGTGATGGAGCCAGCTTCCCTCACAGGCACCTTCATTAAGTGTTGAACTCCTGCGCACAGAACATCCACACTCACTGGGATATGAGATCAGCCTCGCCATGAATCACACCCAATCCAGAAATGCAGAATGTAATATTTTTACCCGAGGGTCTGGAGAGGAGGAAGAAGAGGAGGTGGGGAAACAGATGAGGGGCTGTAGGTGCAATTATGTCTGCATGCCTGAATGTAAGTAATGTGACTCTTCTACAAGCAAATAGGAAGAGTTCTAATGAAGAAAAACTATCAGTACGAGCTGAGGAGACATCTTTAGTAAATGTTGCACATCCACCATCGTCTGTAAACCTGCAGTCAGCATATATCAATCGATGGTGACCTTTAAACTCGTACTGAATTAATTATTCAACAGACAAAAGTATGTGGTGAAAAAGTTTATTTTACATTAAAGAGCTGTGATTCTGCTAAATCTATGATGTATCAAAAATCAGGACACTCAATCAAATCTGATCAAACTCCAATCCTCATGTTAGATCACAGTATTTTATTGTTAAACTCTGATTTGTTAATCGGTTTTATTATTTTTAAAGATGGAAATGGAAAACATTGGATACAGCCACGACATGTCCAGCATCAGACAGGAAATGTTAGCAATCAGCTTTGATGGGAAAAGTTCAAATGTGTAGAAAACCAATAACACAGTGAATATTGGATGCACATTCACCAGGTGGTCGGCAACACAAATATGAATGAGTGCTAATCCTGCTCCACATCTGCTGGATGTGCAAACAGGCAAACATTTGAGTTTACCATATTCATTTATCGCATAATAACATCAGTGTTACACACACACACACACACACACACACACACACACACACACACACACACACACACACATACACTTTGCATGACAGTTTCATTATTTCTCCACAAACCAACCAGTGCTCTGGAGCTGAAGTGATTAGTTGAGTCATTGATTCAATCTGTTGCTGTCAAGTAGGATATTAATAGAATTTGTTACTTGGACCTCAGGAAATAGTTTTTTCTTTTGTAGTCAGAACAATCATATGATTGTTAAAGTGAATCATTTTCAGATGCATTGATAATGAAAATAATTGTTGGTTATGATGGGATGATATTACACCGCCTGTGATTTTCTCTGTGATAATGCCCTTTTTAAAAGTGGAAAGTCCCCTTAAATTGATTTTTCATCTAGATCCATGCATTTTTATTCTGGAAAATCTTGTGTGAACTTAAATGTTCTTTCATGGGGGATTAATAAAGTCATCTATCTATCTATGAGTGGACTGTTGGGCCTTGGCGGTGGCATGCGCTCTACTGAGTGCCATTCTAGTTTTATCCACCAGGAGGTCCTTTTAAAGGTTTGGTGTGTAGAATTTAGTGACATCTAGTGGTGAAGTTGCATGTTGCAGCTGAATATCCCTCACCTCACCCTCCCCTTCCGAACATGACAGAGAACCTGTGGTGAACTTCAGTTATCACAAACACTTTAAAAGGTGTTGAGTTTGCTCAGTCTGGGCTACTGTAAAAAACATGGCGGCCTCCATAGATTGAAGCTGCTCCTGATGTAAATATAAAGTATTTAAATATAAAGGGCCCATCTTAGGGTAAAGAAAACTATAATTTGTGCAATTTAGATAAAACACACCAGTGAAAACATCATGAGGATTAGTTTATATTAAATTTCTGCCAATAGATTATTTTCATCTAAATCTTCCTCACTGCAACTTTTAGCACCTGGTGAGGTGTGATTCCCTCTGCGGCCGCCGGGTGTCGCAGGGCGCTCAGCCCGCAGCAGTGAACAGGTTGCGTTTGTTCACCTGTGTTTTCTGTGACTCACGGAACTGCGCCCCCAGCGGCTGCAGCGCGACATGCACCTGAGGAGACGAGCACGAGCACCTCTGAAGCGTCTCGCGGCGAAATAAGCGAAGAAGAAGAAGAAGAAGAAGAAGCGGAGCGCGTTCAGAAAACTGAGGAAGAGGAGAAGGAGGAGTAAAGGAGGAAGCGTGGAGGGAGGGCGAGCGCCACCTGTGACTGCAGCGGCGCTGAGAGTGGAGGAGGTCGGACTCGGAGCCGCTGAGTGTCGGCTGCTGTGTGTCACTCTCAGTGGGTGGTTGTGTGCATGTGTCTGTGAGTGTGTGTCTGTGAGTGTGTGTGTCTGTGAGTGTGTGTGTGGGCGCTTCAAGTCCAGTTGGATCCTCCGGAGCTGAAGGAAACGTTCGTGTCTTTGTCTCGGAGGAATCTGATCGTGAATCAGGTGAGAACATGAAACCACCGCTGCTCACATCCAACACAGGAGAACCACAGTGAAACCACTTTCTGCTCCATGTTCACGGTGTGTGTCTGCAGTGTGCCTCACTGGTGTGTGTGTGTAAGTGTGTCTATTTTAAAACTGTGTTTGTAATGTACATATACAGACTTGTCGTATCAAAATGTAGGAAATACATATTAAGATATTTGATCAGGCAGATGAAAGGTATATAACGAGAGTACAAATCTTAGCAGTAGACGATAAAGTCATTATCTCAATATAGTTATCATCAATAGCAACAGATCGATATATTGAACTATTGTTGTATTGGTGAGATATTGATATATATTGAAGTTTTGTTGTTGCCTATTAGTTTTGATAAAATTGTATTGTTTTATCACTCAGCCCTAATTTTAAACTCATTCGATTATATCTACATGTTGAACTTTTGTTATATTGCTATTGACTAAATTTGTGTAACAAAAGTCCAATATATGTATATACAGTGTATATATATATATATATATATATATATATACACATTACTATTGACCAAAATTGTATTGCGATAATTATTTATATTGTTTTATTGCCTAGCCCTAATTTTTGTTATACTACTACTGGTGTAACTTAGAAACCAAAGTCCAATATATATCAATACATTGCTACTGGTTGAAATTTATATTGTGATTATAATGACAATTACATAACATTAGTCCAACATACATCGATGTATTGGTTATACATTGTGTAAGTACTGTGAGAAGGTAAAACACATTTCAAGTGTTTTTCATTTTTTGCTTATGACAGAGTTTAAACCCTCAACCTTCAATCTTATACTTAGCAGAAACAGTAATGTGGCACGTATCCTGATAATTATCACAATAGATCTGATCTCAGTGTGATTTCAGCTTCTTGTAAAATGATTATCAGCTGAATCAAAAACACCCAGTGACCCATCATGCGTTCCTCCTGTTTTACTGAGTTCCACTTCCTCTGCGGCTGCACTGGTCCGTCAGGTATCAACAGGGATTGTGTTCAAGCTGTGCAACATGCAAACATGAAGCTTCAGCCTGAAATTCATAAGGAAGGCAGCCAGCCGAGCAGCTGAGATTACAGCTGTGATCACAGTGAATGAGCTGGAAACACGCACGATGCTTGAAGAGCATGATTGATCTGCTACATATGTGTGATCAGCCTTTTCCTGTCCACGCTGATGCTCTTTGTACCTGTGATCTAATCATTACTGATCATCCAATCATAGAGGAACCTGTGCAAACCCACTGAACCCACTCATCAGTCTGTGTATTCTTTAAAAATGCATGAAGCTGTGGAGTAGATAGTGAATGAGAGAAACACTTGGATATGCAAATATGTGGTCATTGAACACAAGGCATTTTATTGTTATGCAGATAGTCATTGACTCTCTCCTCCTATTGTCTTCTCCTTTTCATCATTCAAAGGGTTTTCTGGTTTTCAACCCATCCCAGAAGCAAAATTGTGGTTTTATTTTTTTAAATATTTATCCTGGAAAATCTACTGAGTGTCATTCTAGTTTTACTTTAAAGGTTTGGTGTTTAGAATTTAGTGACATCTAGTGTTAGCAAAGATGTTTCCTCTCATTTTATCTAGTTCTTATCACACTGATTTAGTAACAATTGGTTTTAATTAGTTATTTGACACTATAAAGATATTGTGAAACGTTATGATTGACAGCTGAGACTGCACTTGGCGGGACCTCTGTACTGTGTCTTCATTCACGGTTGCTACTGTGCAGACTCTGGATGCACTCTTTTGGATTATAAACAAAATTGATCAGTTTTGTCTCTTTTTTGTTTTGTCAGAATGAGTCCAGTGTGAACGCTCGGTTTAGTGCTGCATTCAAGTGACTGTACAAAGTGCCGTACAGTACTGGGAACAAATAGAGTTCAGTTCAGTTGCTTCCTTTTGTGTGTCTATGTTTTAAAGCAGTCTCTCTCTGTCAGTTGATGAGCAACTCAAAGCCTTTGATTGTAATCTTTTGTTAAACACACATACATTCAAAAACAGAGAGTTTTGAGTCCCGGGGGACAAGTGTTGTCTGTTGATGGAGCTGTTACCACCCTGCTCCAATCTCCTCCATTCAGGCAGGTTCATAGACACTTTATAATTGCCTGATAAAAATCCATTTCCGTGAATGGATGTCATGGGACCGAGAGCTGGCAGCGAAATCAGGGGGAAGAGAGATTAGAGAGGTTGGATCGTGAGTGGTGGCGTCACTCTGATTTCCTCTGGGTACGCCTCGTTTTATTTTCAACGTCTCTCTGTTCTGTGTTTTCTCCAACTTTTGACTTGTGCTCAATGGCCAATTAACAATTGAGAGCTTCTGAATTGGGGGGGGGGGGGAGTATTCAGAGCATTTCAGGATTCGTAGATTATAGATGAAAGAGAATTGGAGATGTCACAATTACTGGCTCGTTGCTCTGTGCAGCTGGACGTCCTGACAGCTTTTTATGTCTTTCTTTGCTGCTTTATCCTATACTTTTTTTTCTTTGTGTAAAACATTTACACCTGAATAGACTCCTCGTCCTCACAGGATTATGTGACCACATCAGGACCACTGCGGCTCACAATTTGACCCTGACAGCCCATTTCAGGGAAGTAATTGACTTATCAAGTGCCCCTCGGTGCACTCCTGCCACCACCTTGAAAAGAAGAGGGATACAAGTAATATTTACCAAATGGTTGCATTTAAGGATCTGAATAATGCAGCCTCACTTTCACTCTTGTTTTGAGCTCATCCTCGATTTTAGAGAAAAAAAAGACAGGGTGGAGCTAATGGTGTAATTTTACTCCAGGGTTTTAGAAATGTGTATTTGCAGAGACCTAAAACGTGCTTGTCGTTGTATTCTGAGAAAGTCCTGCATATGAATCAGTCTCTGCAAAGTAAAATAGTCTGTTTAAATGAGTTTCAAGGAACAAGTGATAAAAACAGGGTTTTAGCATTTTTATTGAAAAAATAATGACCACATAAAATCATCTTTATACAAAGATAGACTTCCTTGCTAAACTAGAGAGCTGCAGTAGCGAGGTCCTGTTGATACATGTCCTTGATTAATTACGCGTCAGTTTTTTCACAACATTCAATAAAAATTAAAACCAAAGTTACCAGAAAAATGAAATATACAGTGTGATGAGAACTACCTTAAATCAGAGAAACCATCACTGAACAACTGCATCACTGTGCATTTAATTAAGAAATAAAGAGGAAGAAAAGTTCATTATAACATAAATCTATAGGTTGCATGTTGATGTGCTGATTTTGTTTTGATCACCTGAAATCAGCTGGAACAGGAAGAACCCGCAGGAAGATCAAGAATCTTAAAATATACATTCACGGAACTTTCTATAATATTAGTGGTCGATGAAAGTCTCACATAGAACCAGTGCTTTATGCTCTATCACGTCACAGTGCCTCTGTGAGCCTGTAAGTCTCACTGTTCCTTCCTGCTGTTAAAATCACAGTGAGCCGACTGTCTCTTATCCACCTGCATGCCGCTGTGTTTGACCGAAACATGGTGCAGCTCTCCAGCCGTCCGTTGTCATGGTGTCAGCCCTGAGGCTCTGCTGGGACTTTCTCTAACAGCACAGTCACAAACACTTGTGCTAATTCCTCCGCTTACCTGCTTTTTGTTGTTGCATCCATGCTCCTATGTAAACAGCATTGTGTGTCTGTCTGTGTGTGTTTGTGACTGAAGGAACGAGCAAACTCCGATGACTTTCAGCTCTTTAGGGTGCTAGAGGCTCACGCTTAGTTTAATGGAAAGTGCTTAAGAGTGTGACTGTTTAGATCTGGATCCAGGAAAGCTGACTGAGTGTGTGTGTGTGTGTGTGTGTGGGGGGTTATGTGTGTGTTTAATGGGGGACAAAAAGAGAGTAAGAAAAAGAGAGCAGTACCCATTCCCCCAAACAAAATTGGATTAGATTGCTGTGTGCACTGCTGATACACATGCACGTCTCTTTCCTCCTCACACCATCTCTCCCTTTACTCCTCCAAAAGCGTCTTGTTCTGCAGTAACAACATTGACATTCTCAACACACGCTCACACTCACACACACACACTACTAGTTATTATCATATTTCAGTCTTCCCTCCTCTTGGATTTCACTTGTCTCAGGTACGTCTGCTGTTTTAAACGCTCTCACATCTTATCGATCTGAATCGCTCCACATCGTCGTTTAATCCTCAAGTGTTTGCCTGTGATATCGGCACGTTGCTGTGTTTGACTGACACTGTTTGGTTAGTGATATTTTCAGTCATGTGTTTGGACTGGCCAGGCTGCTGCTCACACACCACACAGGCTGCGAGACAGCTCCGTTTCACAGACCGCCATTGATCTACGGCAGCACCCGATATATTTTATTGAGCGAATGCACTTTGGGTCTCTTTCACATCTCTGTCGTCATCCTTGTGAAATCCTGCACGTCAGCTTATTCACTGTGTCTGAACTCTGACGTTCAACTCTGCTGCTTCTTTTTCAAGTTCTCTTCTGACTTTTTAAAGGTAACACATTTTCAGTCTGCAGGATTTTGTGTTTCCTCTAGTGTACACCTGCTAACACAGTTGTTGTGTGTTTTCAATCTTTCTACAGGTTTCTCCAGTCCTTCCTCCTGCACATTGAAGGAGGCCGCCTGTGTGTATGACTACATGTGTGTATGTGTTTGAGTGACAGGTTGAATATGTTTGTGTGAGTGCCTTTGCATGTTTATAAAACCTGGTCAGAGAGTGTTTGTCCCTCGAGACGGTCAGCAGAGATGTCGGGGGCTCTATCCCCTGCGCTGCGGCTCCTGCTACTGAGCTGCTGTGTGTGTGCGACGGCCGGCTACCCGTTCAAAACCCCCCTGGACCTGGATGTTACTCCACGCATCACTATTTTAAAGAGCGGTAAGCAAACACTGACAAAAACACATGGACGATTGGTTTTCTGGTGCAATGCATTCCTGTCGAATGGTGAAATTCTATACTCTAACATTGAACTGAAAAATTGACTATAAAGTGCTTTTTTTGTGGGGTTTATTCAAGATTGTGCTCTTTCAGTTTGAGAGCAGGACTTATTGATTCCCTGTTTAGATTTTGAAAATGCTGTCACTCAAAGCCCTGCGCTCACACTCAAATATACCCTGCTTGTGCTTAGACTTGTTGCGAAATCTAAGACCAGAACAAAAAAATCAAAGAGCAGAGGAGATATCAGAGCGCAGACGTTTTGTTTTCAGGAGAAGAGCTGAAGCTGGAGCACAGAATACTGTCCTACAGAAAATGTGAGTGCCAGTGCACAGTTAAAGCGCTGGTAAATAGTGAAGGGCTGGATGAGCTGCAGAGCCAGGAGGGAATTGAAGTAGTCTAAGCACGAGATGACCAGAGCCTGGACCGGAACCTGTGCCGCCTTCTGAGTGAGAAGAGGACGTATTCTCCTGATGTTGTGCAACATGTATCTACATGAGTGGGTTGTTGCAGCAATGTTAGCAGTAAGGGAGAGTTGACTGTTGTGTCACAACCAAGGTTCCTCACAGTCTGGGTTGGAGATACAACAGAGTGGTCTATGGTGATAGTAAGTTCATGGGTGGGAGAGCTTTTCCCTGGAAGGAAAAGTATTTCGGTCTTGTCAAGGTTGAGAACAAATCGAAGCACAAGCAGGGGCTTCAGTATTTTAGCCAATTCAAACTGCTGACTGGAGGAGACAGGGATTTAATCACTGACATTCTGGTTAGTGGACAGCCCTCTCTACCTCCGTCCCAGCTGTGGGACAGGAAGTAAGATGCATCAAATTTAAAAGAATAATGATGCAGTGATTCACTTTCAAACCAACTATAATTTAGCAAAATAAGCCATCAGGTTTTTAAAAATAGAAAAAAAGAGGCTCACATGCTTTGTTTTTCTAATACATCACAGAAGCTGTTTCCTGCCTCTTTCTTTTATATCCTTCTTCCCTTCATCCCTTTATCCCTCACTCCCCTGCTCTCCCCTGACACAGCTCTTTTCTCTTCTCTGTCTCCTCATCTTATTTGTGTGCACATTAACTTGCTCATACATTTTCTTGCCTCAGGGAAATTCTCACACCTGCCCCTAAACCACAAGTTTTTTTGATCATTATTATTATTAATTTACCCTGTGTGAGTGATGGAATGTAGCCTGAGGTGACAGAGACTGAGGCAGATGAGTAAAGTGCTCCGGCTTGTATCCCTAAGGAGCAGCCAGGGAGACTGACACCACTGTAAGTCGTTGAGAAGCAGCGTAACCATGACAACTGTCATAGTATGGCGCAAGATGGTTGTATACAGTATTTTGCTTTTGTGCTTGTGTGGGCAAGAGTGTGTGTGTGTGTGTTTCCTTATAGCATCACTGTCATCTGATCCTGGACTATTTTTGTTAGCAAGCAGACGTATGAAAGAAATGTTCTCATCCCCAGTTTGACTTTTTTCTTAAGCAAACTACTCGTGGAAAAATCTCTCCTTTCCTCCTCTCCTCCAGTCATCTTTCTCACCACGCATCACCTACTTGCACTCATTACTCATCTCCTTCCTCTGTACCTTTAGCTCACTTTCTGTTCATCACCAGTTTGTGCTGGAGCCTCCAGCCCACCGGTCCTCCTACACTCTTCTCCTCATCTGCCACCCCATCACTCTTTCATCCACTCCTCTCTTTTCCACAGTACTTCAATTTGGACACTTAATCCCTTGTGCTTATTTTTTCTTCATAAGATCATACTTTTTACATTTGCACTGCTAATTCCCTCCACTTGCCTTTACCTTTCGTTCTTTGTTTTTTTACGTTTGCTCATCTTTCGATCTGCAAACTTACCAGTAATCCCTTTAATCGCTGTGTTTCTTAGCAACCTAAAAGCCTCCAGATCTGGTTGGAGAATTGATAATGTACATGCAACACAGTGAAACACACAAACACACACCTGTGTTTTCTCCTGATTGCAAATTCACTTTTTCCACTTTACACAAGGCAAAAAAAAAATTGGCCAATGACTAGTCAATTTGAAGAATTCTGGCTAAAAGCCAGCAAAACAGATTGAGTATAGCTTATTTAATTAAAAAAAAAAAATGGAAACCTGGTAACACTATAATTGGCTTGTGAAGTATTTTGAAAATCTGCCACACACATCAGCCACAGTGGGTGGATTTAACTTTGTTTATACAGTCGTCCCGAACACAGGCCTGGAGCTCGAGTGTAAATTTGTATATAAGGCTGTCATGTCACAGTCGAACGCCTGGAGGTTGAGAGAGTGTGTGTTTGTCTGTGTCCCTGAACACTGCACTATGCTGATGAGCTAAGGTCCCTCCACTTCTTCTTTCTTTCTCTCTACGTCTTTCTTTTGCTTTAGAATTGATCTAATCACCTTTTGACGCACAATCTTGTAAGCTGAGGCTAAAATGCGGAGTGGGATCCTCACATATTGTTAATATAACCCAGATAAACCTCCCTCTGCTGTGTCAGTGCCCTACGCAGGTTGTTTTGTGTTACCTGGCTCTGATGGCCAGGCTCACACGCACACACACGCGCACACACACACACACACACAC